TTTTCCTGCTTTGGTTCCCATGTTACTTTGCACTCACGGGCGTTTCCTGGGGCCCGGGATACTCCGCGTTGAGGCGGTTGGTGTTTCTGTGGGGCATTTGCTTCTGTGCATCTCGTTGGCCGTCAGCAAGGCCGCGTCCCCCGACCCACTGCTCACGCTGTCCCTGCCCGGAGCTGGAGCTGTCACGCAGCGCATCCTGGGCTCTGCTCTCTAGAGGCAGATCTCTCACTTGACCTTAATCGGGCCACAAGATTTGAGTGCCGGTGCCTTTCCACCGTCAACATTTTTGGAAATATCGGATGAAAACAATTGGATTTTTATTTCGTTCCTAAGAATTTCTTTTCAAAGACAACAGCTAGCTTGTCTTGTTCTTCGCCTTCTCCTTCTCCTTCTCTTCCTCCTTTTCCTTCTCCTTCTCCTTCTCCTCCTCCTCCTTCTCCTTCTTTTCCTCCTCCTTCTCCTCCTTCTCCTTCTTCTCCTTCTCCTCCTTCTCCTTCTCCTCCTCCTTCTTCTCCTTCTCTTCCTTCTCCTCCTCCTTCTTCTTCTCCTTCTCTTCCTTCTCCTTCTCCTTTTCCTCCTTTTCCTTCTCATCCTTCTTCTCCTTCTCCTCCTCCTCCTCCTCCTCCTCTTCTTCTTCTTCTCCTTCTCCTCCTTCTCCTCCTTCTCCTCCTTCTCCTCCTTCTCCTCCTTCTCCTCCTTCTCCTTCTCCTTCTCCTCCTCCTCCTCCTCCTCCTCCTCCTCCTCCTCCTCCTCCTCCTCCTCCTCCTCCTCCTCCTCCTCCTCCTCCTTCTTCTTCTTCTTCTTCTTCTTCTTCTTCTTCTTCTTCTTCTTCTTCTTCTTCTTCTTCTCCTCCTCCTCCTCCTTCTCCTACTTCTGTGTCTCCTTCTTCTCCTCTTCCTTCTCCTTCTCCTCCTTCTCCTTCTCCTTCTCCTCCTCCTTCTCCTTCTTCTCCTCCTTCTCCTTCTCCTCCTCCTCCTTCTCCTCCTTCTCCTTCTCTTTTTCCTCCTTCTCCTCCTTCTCCATCTCCTTCTCCTTCTCCCTCCCCCATCCCTTCCCCCTCCTCTTCTCCTCCTCCTCCTTCCTCTTCCTCCTCTTTCTCCTCTTCCTCCTACTCTTCCTCTTCCTCCCTTTCCTTACCTTAACCAAACACACACCCCCCCCATGTTTCCACGGACTCTGACATTACAGAACAGCCCTTTGTTTAGAACCGAGGGAATGAAAACCCAATCCTGCGTGTGACTCAGCCATTTCAGGGGCCAGGAACCCACAGTTCCCCGCACTCCCGGAGCACCCAGGCCGAGCCCGCACTCTGCACGTTTGGGTGCTGCTTTCTGAATTAGTAATGAGCTGCCACGGATCGTGCACCCGGCCAGGCCTGGGAGCCTTTGTTTTCTCAGGCAGCCTGTGACCTGGGCAGGGAGGCACTTGGGGCTTTGCTAATGACTAAGCCCAGATGCCGAGATGTTCTTGGGGCGGCAGCAGCTGAGCTATCGGGACCATTCTGACTCCTACCTTCGGTGCATTTGCATAGTCTGTTCCCGGTGTACTGAAGAGCAGGGCCAGCTGCTGCTGACCTGCAGGGCCTCCCCGAGAAGGACTCTCAGGGGGCTCTTTGCAAGGCAGGCTTTTCCTGTGATCCCGCGGCACCTGTCAGCTCCCCCCTCGCCCTGCACATTCCCAATGTCTCCCTCTCCTCACGCAGCAGTGAGCAGCTCCCGTGGTCACAGTGAGGCGTGTTGAAACAGTCCCTTCTCGGGGCAGGAGCTTATTCCCTCTTCTGTGTATTCCCGACTGCTCTGACCGTGGGGACCCACCGGAGCCCCAGACTCGTGGCTGAAGGAGCAAGTTTTGCTCCTGGGAAGCTTCTTCCTGCGATGACTGGAGGGTGGGGATCTCCTCTCTGCCGTCTTCCGGGGAGCTGCCCCTGCCTTGTGGGCCCCACTCCTTTCCTTGGGTATATCAGACACCACCCGGGGCCCTGGGACCCCCTTTGAAAGGTCCCTACCCAAGCCCAGCGCTTTCCCAGCACACTGGGCTGATACCCCCCACTGTCCAACATTCTATTTTTTTTTCTTTTTGGGTCACACCCAGGAATGCTCAGAGGTTACTCCTGGCTCTGCACTCAGGAGTTACTCCTGCCAGTGCTCAGGGAACCATATGGGTTGCCGGGGATTGAACCTGGGTCGGTCATGTGCAAGGCAAACGCCCTACCTGCTGTGCTATCGCTCCGACCCCTGTCGAAATATTCTTGACCAGCCAAGAGCCCCTCCGCCTCTCTGTCTTCCTGTCTCTCCCTAGCCTGGATTTTCCTGTCTTTCTCCCCACACCCAGACTGGCCTGGGGTCCCAGCAGAACTGTGTGACACGCAGACGTCTTCACCCCTTCTCTGGAGGGTCTGCCGCGGTCCCTTGGTTGCCTGGGAACCCTCAGGCGGATGCTGCTTTGCAGAGCAACCAGGGGTGTGGCAATCCCCCGTCCCTCTGGATCCTTCCGGAAGGGGTTGGAGGAGGCATGTGGGAGGAAAGAATTTCACAAGCTGCTGGGCCCGAGCGGCCGCGAGCTCTCATCTGGGAGTCACAGAAAGGGAGAAAAAAAGGAAAGGAGTCATGAGTCACCCAAGTGGCAGGTGACGAAATGCTGGGGTTTGTGTCCCCGCGTGCAGGGCAGAATGAAACGAGGTTTTCTGTTTTCTAGCGCCGTCATCACCTTTTCCACTTTCTTTGCCTTTAAATTATTGCCGTGACTCCTCACTGCGGTCGGAGGCACCTTGACGCTCGGAATTCCCTTCTCCACTTTTCCCTGCAGAGCGCGGCAGCTTGAGGGACAGAAAAGCGAGCTGGCGAGACACAGGAGGCAGTTGGGGGTGACCAAGTGAGCTGAAAGGAAGGGTCGCTTACCACAGTCCCTTTTTTTCTCCAAGCTGCCGATGCTTAAGTTTTACCCTGGGCCTGTCAAGGCCTGTTGGATCTCGTGCACCGTTTTCCCTCTGGATAAGCCGTGCTCAGACTCCGCTTCAAGACTCTCTAAGGAGCCTTGGTTGGAAGATGTGATGCTCAATTCCATGCTGGGGTGTGTATGTGTGTGTGTGTGTGTGTGTGTGTGTGTGTGTGTGTGAGTGGGGGGAGGGGACATAGATGTCATATCGAGGAACTGTGCAGAAAAAAAGAAACAAAAACGGTCTTTTCCTGACCTCTCCTAATGGAGATGGGAAGGAGAATCCCGTCGTTCCTTTATGGCACCGTTGCACGCCACTCTGGGGCCCAGGTCAGCAAGGAGGCGTTGGGTAAGACCATTGACAGCTGGTGTTCTCCTCCACAGAGCCGGAGAAATGGGCTCTCGGTGACTGTCCCTGATCAGACACCCACATCTCACGACCAGCCCCAGGACTGCCGCCACGTCTGTCCCGGGCTCCTTCTCCCTGCCCATCTCATGGGCCCCAGTTCCCTTGCCCAGCTGCCTGGCTGAGGAATGTCCAGTGACACAGCCGGGCCTGGGGTCTGCTCTGGAACAGCGAGGGAGCCAGAGAGATGCCATCTGCCTGGAGTTTGTACTTGACAAGAGTGTGGAGCGGGGAGGTGGCCAACTCTGAGGTGAGGGAGGGTTGGACCCGCCACAAAACGGCATCAGCGACTTGAGCACTGCAATTCCTGAGTGCCGGTATTCTCGGTAAATACGGCAACGATCAACTGAGAGAACCGGTGGGTTCTTCTAGGCGACAAGTCATTGGCTGACTTTCTCCCCTTCCGGAGGGGTGGGTGTCTAGACCCTCGTTCTACGCGTGACCTGCATGTATGTGCTCTTTGAGGCTGGCGATGTTTCTAGTTACCTCCTTGGCCCTTCCCCCCTTATTAGCATGACGTGGTGACAAACGGACTCTGCGAGAGGAACTCATGAGATCACCAGAAAATCGGGTTAAATTGTCCGTTTAGCCCTCGTGGAACCAGATTCTTTTGCAAGAATCACCGAGTTTTGAGGTGTTGTGATCTAACTTGACATTACATGGTTTGAAGGCCTGGGGACATATCCCATCATCAGGAGTATATGATTTGCATGTGCCAAAAACTCAGATTCAAACCCTGGTACCACACGGCCCCAGACCAGCACCCTGGGTAGCCCTGGAGGAGCCTGTACATACCTGGACCCACTTCAGCTTTGCACCTGGGGGGCCTGGCATTGAACCATCTCATCTGGTTGGTTAAGTGCCACACACCCTAAACTCTTCTCGAGAACTTTCCCTCCTCCACAAAAAAAAGACCTTTGGAACTATAGTTTTAAATCACTTCAGAGAATCAGCAAATAAGTTGTATAAAGCAAATTTAGCGTGATTTTTTTACTAGCATGAATTTATAGAAACATCTTTGTGCTAACCACCCCCCTACACACACACACACACACACACACAATTTGAGACATTCACTTAAAGACAGTGTATTTATTTGGTATATTCACATTTACTCTTCTGAAGAGAAATCAAATTGCTGTGAGTAGGTAAAACTGCCATCAGGGTATGGGCAAAATCATTGCTTTCCTCATATTAGACTTCGGTACAGAAAACTGGATGTCACGTTATAATTCTTAGTCATTGTGGCTAATATTCACCAGCAGTGCTTCCTTCCTGGCTATGATCCTAAATGTAATAGTTTTTTGGGTTTTTTTCAGCGGACTCGGTAAACAAACATGCAAGATGATCGCTTTAAAACTTGCTATTTACCGGAAAGCCCTGATATTTCCCCAACTCCTTGCTGTACCCCACCTAAACTCCAGGCCAGGGGCAAGCGCGAGTGTGGATATTGTCCTCGTGGTCAGGGAAAATAAGTGGGAACCTTCACGTCAAGTTTCCCCCGTTCCCTGGGCAACAACAAAAAAATGAGTGAAAAACTTCTCCTTTTTATTCTTTACTTTTTGACCTGAGTAAATAGTTCCTTTTCTCCACTGAGTAGCATCTTTTTGATTTCTTTTTTTTTTCTTTTTTCTTTTTTTTTTTTTTCACCCTTCTACAGGGAGTTAAGTACCTGTGCATTCCGGCAGCCGATTCACCATCTCAGAACCTGTAAGTGTTTTCTGGGCTTTTTAAAGTAAAGTTTTCTTTTCCTGTGTTCATCCTAAGAGGAGGTTTTGTTTTTGTTTTGTTTTGTTTTTGGTATACAGGATGTCTCCATCTTAATGTTTGTACTAATATTCTTTGGGAAACAAACCCTTCAAGATACCTTTCCATCCCAAGCCAGAATCTGCATTACAAAATAAAAGGGGCGCGGTAGGGGGGAGTGGATGAGAGTCCTGGGTTCTGTTTACCCAGCATATCCAGAATGCCTTGCAGTGTAACGTGGGACTAGGAGCTGAAAAATGGACTGTTCACATCCTTCCTGGCCCCTGCCTGCCCAAGTCCCCACCAGACTCTGACCTGCTCTGTCACACTCCCAAGCTCATCTCACTTGGAAGCAGCTTTCTGTCAGATTCTCTGAGGCCACACATGACAGGGCTCTCTGCAGGACTCTGCCCTTCTGGGTCTGTCAGAATTGAATGATCAGAACTTTCTGAATTAGGAAAGACCAGTGCCCAGTGTCCTCGCAGCCAAATCCACCTGTAAGGTGCCACTTTCCATCTGCTTCTCACTAAAAAAGAACCTTTCAGGCCAGAGAGCCAGTACAACGGGGAGGACATTTGCCTTGCATGCGGTCACCACCCTGGGTTCCATCCCTGGTGACCCCTTATGATCCCCTGATCGCCGCCGCCAGGGTGATTCCCTAAGTGCAGAGCCAGGAGTAAGCCCTGAGCACTGTGAGGTGTGACCCCCAAACAAACAAAACCAAACAAAATGAAGCTGTAATTGCTCTGTTATCTGGGTCATAGTCATTTCAGGAGCTCCGGGAGGGTCTAGCTCTGGTGGCGGGGGGAGGTCTCTGAGACCCCACAACAGCTCAGAGCTGGAACAGTCACACCCTGTAGCCCCTGGAGTGCTCAGTCCGCCAGGACAGATGCTACTGTGGCATCGACTCTAGTTCAACTGAGCTTGGATTTCAGCCTTGCAGGCTCAGAGGCCGGGGACAGAAGTAGGGTCATGGCTTGAAAGCCGCCTCCAGAGGACCCCCGCATGTATCCTGAGTTGGGCATGAGGGGTTGAGGTTGCCCCTGGGAAGAAAGCAGTCACCCTCCTCCCAGAATGCCCAGGAACTAGGTTTCGTCGGGAAGTTTGAGAGCTAAGAGGGTAGCCATGCGTGCACAAGTCCTTTGGACTGGGAAGCTTCATCCTCAGAGCTCAGCTTAGTACCTGCTGCAGGTGCCATCAGAAGGTGCTCACAGGTTGTCAGCAGTTCCGGAAGCTGCTGATCCACGGACGCCCATGCCACCCTGGAGAGTTCCCCTCTAGAATGCTGAGAAGTCACGGGGCAGGGGGAATCGCGTGAGAGCTCCCTGGTTCTTTTTTCTTTCTTTTTTTTCTTTTTGGGTCACACCCTGCAATGCTCAGGGGTTATTCCTGGCTCTGTGCTCAGGAATTACTCCTCAAGGTTCTTGGGGAGACCCTATGGGATGCCGGGGATTGAACCCAGGTCAGCCGTGTGCAAGGCAAACGCCCTCCCCACTGTGCTATCGCTCCAGCCCCCGAGATATCTCTGTTTGGAACTGAAAACAGGACCAAGGCAGACGGGTTCCGGGGAGGAAGGCCTGGGAGAGAGCAGGCCGGGTGGCATGGGACTCTGACAGGATGGGAGGACGGAATGAACACCTCCCTCCTGGAGCCTGCCCCCTGCCAAGAGGGGATGGTGGAGGTGGGCCTCACCAGGGTCCCGCAGGCAGCTGGAGCAGGGGAGGAGGCACTAGACGACTTCCTTGGTGACGAGTCGTGTCAAGAAACAGAAGTGGTTGGAAGGGCGCTGTGCATCTGCGAGGAAGTGACCCCGGGGACTGTTTGCAGGGGCAGCTCTGCCATCGCCCAATGCTGTCAGTGCCCGGCTGTCAATAGGCCGCTTTGGAAGACTCCAGTTGTCACCCGTTCTGGGGTAGGTGGTCGCCTGCACCCTGGAGACTCCAGGGGGGCCCTCACTGTCATCGGAGACCTGGACTCACCCGAAGATGGAGCCACACTGAGCTGACATATGCATTTGGCAGGCCCCGTGCCTGGAACCTTGGGGTTAGAGCTGCTTCCGGCTAACAGGACCAACTCACAGGAACCCTCCCGACTCTCGGTCCTCTCATCAGACAAATGAGACCTGGCCGCGGGGATGAAATCCTGCAGGCAATGCTTTTCTCAGGGGGCACCAGCAGTTCGGAAAGCGGCGATGTTCCGTGTGGAACGTGCATTCCTCTGCCTGGAGACAGACGGCAAGGTAGCGGAGAGGAGGGTGGGTGCTCGGGGATCGATGGGTGACACGCCCCGCACACTTCAGTACAGAGGAGGGGACAGGACAGGCAGCACCTGCTTCTCTGAGTCCCCGTGTTCCCCCGGATTCATTCGGATCTTCTTGGGAGAAATGAAACAAAGTTCAGTTCAAACACTGCAGTCACCTGCACTCAGAGGGTCACCGTGAGGTTGGTCTGGCGTCTCTCCTGCTCCAGAGCCACCCGCAGGCTGGTGAGCTGTGTGATTTCGGGACCAGAGAGCCAGAGAGTGGATTAGATACTCGTCTTGTCTGTGGCCAGCCCGGGTTCGAGCCCCAGCACCACGTGCGTTCCCCTGAGCACTCCCAGGACAGAGAGTGTGGGCTTGTGTCAGGGGCTGCGGTTTCCGCAGACGTCGGCTGGAACAGCGCACACGGGTGGCCAGAGGAGCTGTGCGTGACGGTGCCCCTCTGAGCTTGCCAGGACGCTCCAAGACCGTGTTGGAAAATCAAGCCCAGCCGTCATCTTGCAGACGGCAGCCGGGCCCCCTGTTGGCGTGGGCTTGGGGACACACGTGAGACTCGGGGGAGAGGGGGAGGTTTCCTGATGCTTGGGACGCATCCGTGCCGGGATTCCCTCCCCATGTCCTCGCCCGCCCACAGTTCCATGGGGCTGGCGACTTTCCACCAGGCACGGCAGGGTCACTCGGTAGGTTAAGGAGCTCTGAAATCGTGGAGCTGTGTGACCATAGCTAGGTCTGTCTTGACTGTTGCTTAGAAATTATGCCCTAGGAGCCCAGACCAGGACAGACCGGCATCCTTTGTCGGTCCAGAGAGGTCTCGCTCTTGCTGCCCGCTGCATTGGAATGACCTCGAGAGGCCTGCGGTGCTGGTTATGGTGCCCTAAGTTGCAGATTGTAAATGTTACAGTCCGGGACACACTTTGCTCTCCTCCATCTCCCACGACAGGCCCTTCCACAAGAATTCTGCTTAGTAAGATGCCATCAGCCAACCTTTCCCAGCCGTGCTTTCGCTGGGTCTGCAGAGGGGGCAGATGGCCCAGAAAGGTCAATTTGCTTTCTTTTTTTTTTCTTTTTCTTTCTTTTTGGGTCACACCCGGCCATTCACAGAGGTTACTCCTGGCTTTGAACTCAGGAATTACTCCTGGCGGTGTTCGGGGGACCACATGGGATGCTGGGAATCGAACCCGGGTCGGCTGCATGCAGGGCAAACACCCTCCCTGCTGTGCTATCGCACCAGCCCCGAAAGGTCAATTTTCTATCTTGGCCTTAATCCTCACAACGCCACCACCCCACCCACCACCCCCCCCACACACACACCCCAACAAACACACATACACAAACCCAGCCCCACCCCGTTCTCTTCCAGGAACTTCGAGTACGCAGACCTGCTGTGAGATAACAGTAACACGGTAGAATTTTCGCTTGGTCCCCCCCAACCACCTTGCCTCACCGAGCCAGGAAATGTGAAAGTTCAAGTTCTCAGGCGGCTGGCCTGACCATGGTTTGTGGCCACTGAGGCACTCGCGTTTGGATCAGAGGCCCAGGCTCCCCGTCGTCCTGGAGGACGGGGTCAGAGGGCAAAGGCTTTGGGAAACAAGGTGGTTTGCTTTTGCTTTCTTTCTGAACTTCCTGCAGCGTGTGTCTCTCAAATCTCCCTTCTCTCTCGTCTGCAAAATGCCGAGCTCAGAGATTTTTTTTTTTTTGGCCGTATTCAGTGGAGGAGTGAAAGTGTTTTTATGAACACGAAGCATTTTCAAAAATAAGATTCTATTTTCTGCCGCCTCCAGTAAGCAGGATGGCTGGATTTGGAGAGGGAATGGTCGGAGAGCGGGGGACTCACTTCCCTTGTTCTCCTGCCGCCGTGCCCGGCAGACTGTGTCCTTCGAATTGGTCCTCTTGCCTGCCTGTCCCCGAGAGTTTGGCCCACGCTGGACTGGAGTCAGCGGCATTGCATCACTCGAGAGCGGCTGTGACCCTCAGCGGTTGGAGCATCAAGCAAGCTTCTACGTTTCTTGAGGTTTTTGTGGGGAGCAGAGACAAGAGCAGTAAAGACACAAGAGTGTCTAAACCCCCACGGGCCGGCTTGTTTGAGGCCCTCTGCCGCCGCCGGGGTGTGTGTCGGCTTTAGTGTAGCTGAGGTCTTGGGTTTCCCACTGCACTCTTTTCCTGGAGTCTTTACTTGAATTTTTTTTTTCTTTTTGGGTCACACCCGGCGATTCTCAGGGGTTACTCCTGGCTCTGCTACTCAAGAATTACTCCTGGCGGTGCTCAGGGGGCCCTATGGGATGCCGGGGATCGAACCCGGGTCAGCCGTGTGCAAGGCAAATGCCCTTCCTGCTGTGCTATCGCTCCGGCCCAACTTGCTTTCTTTGAGAGCGGTTTTGCCAGATCAGAAGTTGGTGGCCCCGGGAGGGTCGTGGTCCTGCTTCCAGACCAAGGCACGCGCACAGTCACACCAGCATAACCCACACGCACACGCACACGTGCACACGCACACATGCACACAGCTCCCGAGGACGTGCTCGTCCTGCTGGAGGCCGAACGGCAGGAAATGTGGGAAGAAGGAACACACAGCGCCTACCTCGTGCAAGTCCAAACACCGTCCTGAAGAGCAGACGGCGACTTCTCGCCTGGTGTTTCTGGAGCTGAAAGGGAGCTGGGAAATGGCCTCGCAGTTGGCTCCTCTGACAGAAGGAGACGGACCCGGACAT